GCGGGATCATCATCATTGCACGCACACGCATCCGTTTAGGCCCGGAAGGCAACATAAAGCCGGTGAGCCGGACAAAACCAGCTCTTTCTTTTTTGAGCTTTCCCAGAGATCTACGATATGGGCGGGCTGGACTTCATCCTTCTCGTGTTACCCCCCTCAGTCCAAGGGTTGAGAGCTTCTACTTTAAGGAGGTTCTTGCGGTTTGATCCTTGTTTGAAGAGCCGTCTGTTGTTGAGACGGACAAGGCTTCGTCCTGTTGCTTCAGCGTTGAGAATTCTTGAGTAGTAGCAAGTAAACACCAGCGTCCCGCTCCCGAGCAAATCGCGATGTCGCGATGCCCTTTTGTGCAGTTTCCTGAGGCGAAGCGCTTCGCGCATGCTTCCGCAGGTCGACACAAGGCGGAGCCATGAGAAGCCCATGCAGGGCCCAGTCTGCAATCAAGCCGAACCGAAAACAGCCATGATGGGCCATGAGAGGGTTGCCACCGATGCTCAGATGGACTCCTCGTCTACGGCTATGCACAAGTTGGCGAGTATGTCAAGCCGCCGCGATTGGCAGCCGATCCTGCGTTGGCCTTTTTGGACCGCCGTTCGTGATTGCTGGGTTTTCCCAACCAGGTTACTTCAGGTTCTTCGTGAGTTGAAGGAGAATGCCGAGGTTTTGCGCTGTGCGCGGCCAATGGCGGGATTTGGAAGCTTGCCTCCCCTTGTCTTGTCTGCATCTGAGAGTCTTTTCGCAGTGTTTCTTTAGAGTTGTGACGTCGCTGGCCATTGCGGCCCGAATCTGTACACAATAGCGGGCCCGCTTGTTAGCCAAAACAGACGTGCGCTTTTGATGGTTTCTATGATGTGCAGTTGAATTGGTAGCGCGGAGCTTTGTGGATCAGGGACCCAAGGGGGCCCGATGGCGAGCCCTACCTCCCAGGGAGGCACGGGCAAAGATGACCGGCACCATATCCCTACATGGGATGGAAAGCCGGAGTCCTTCGGGCACTTCGTCACCGAGGTCAAGTGGACCATCAGCAGCTCCAAGCGGGAGGACCGAGCGCTACTGGCTGCAAGGATTATACGCAAGGCCCTGCAGTCCGAACATAAGACGCTGGTCCAGTTGATGTACAAGCTGGATCCGGAGAACTTCAAGACGGAGGCCTCGGTGAATGACCTGGTGAAGTTCCTGGAGGAAAGCCCCTTGAACAGGCAGCCGCTGCCTGATGCCGGGGCAAAGATAGGGGGATATTACCGAAGGCTTCAGAGAAAACACAATGAAGCCATCCCCACCTTCCTGGTTCGCGAGGACAAGATCCATGACGATATGTTGCGGGCTCTACAGCGACTGCTGCGCGAAAGAGAGCTGACCTTCAGTGGGTACGACACCAATGTGGAAGAACTCAAGGAGTTCTGCGGCATCGCACCGGATGCCTCTATGTACTTTGGCCCACCAGAAGGAACGGATGCCGACGACCACGACGAGGACTATGACTACGAGATGGGTGATGAAGAGGATGTGGACCGTGAGTCGGTCCGAAGCGGCCGCCGTGGCCGTTCAGGGAGGTCGTCTTCGAGGTCCAGCGGCCATGGATCCCCAAGCAAAGGCAAAGGAAAAGGAAAGCAGCGCGACGAGCTCCTTCCTAAGGGGAAGGACCTTCTTCAGCGGTTGATGGAAAAGGGCTTGATGCCCCTGGCAGCCTTGGATGTGATCCGAGGCTGGATGATCCTGGAGATGAGCACCGCAACAGAAGAGGAACGTAGGGTCGTGAAAGCGGCGACCCAAAATCGCCTCGGCTATCATGAGGTGAAGCAGGCCCTGCTCGCGATGTACGAGGACAGAGGCAAGGGATCTACGAGACCTTTTGCCTCAGGTGCCAAGGGCGCCTACTATGGAGAAATGGACTATGACCTGAACTACCAGTACGGCGAGCAAGGGGATGATGGATGGTGGCCCGAGGACAATTGGGGCTACTACCAATATGGCGAGGCCGAGGGCACAGCAGAAGAAGAGTGGCCTGAGGGGCCCGACCATGCCGAGGCGGATGGCGACCAGGAGCCGCCGAACGATGAGACTGTGGCCCTTATGCAAGAAGAGCAGCGAGAATTTGAGGAACAACGTCGCGAGCTGGAGATGATGATGGCCGAGAATGAGAGGAACTTGGCTGAGGCCCGACGGGCCGTGGCTCAGGCGGCCAAGGATCGCGGCTGGACGGGGACTGTGCAACAACGCCAGGCACGTCCCACCTCGCAGTACATGCAGAAGGGAAAAGGGAAAGGCGGCAAGCCAAAGGGCTTCAAGGGAGCCAAGATGATGGAAGAAGCCAACTGGATTGCTGGCAAGAAGGGCGCCAAGGGCGGCCGATATGGTCCGCAGTCCAAGGGCAAAGGAAAGACAAGCACGGCCTGGAGCTACCACATCGACATCGAGGACTACCACACGTCTGAGCTTTTCTCCACAACCGAGGCGACCCCAAGGAAGGGAACGACCGTGGAGTCGTCCGAGGCGCTGGTCGACACCGGCGCGACCGCCACTGCCGGAGGCAGTGATGCCGTACAGAAGTTGTGTGCCGCAATCGCGACGGCACGCCCGGGAGTCAAGATCGACATCCACCCCGAAGTGCGGCCATACTTCCGTTACGGCAGTGGGAAGTGGGGGCAGGCTCTGTACAAGGTTGTGGTTTCGCTAGAGGACATCAGCCTGGAGATGTTTGCCCTACCTAGCGAAGGTGTGCCAGTCCTTTTGGGGATGAGGGAGCTCAAGAGGTTGAGGGCCGTGATTGGTTGTGAAACGGGCAGGTGCTTGATAGCAGGCCGCAAGGTTCGTTTGAAGCAGACGCCTAAGGGGCACCTAATAGTCGACGTCGTAAAGCAGATATTTGGAGAGGAGGCCCCAAGGGAGCCCACACGAACCGTGACGAGGCCAGCACCTCCTGCAACCACGAGATGGGCCCCGGGAACTACCTACAGGTGGGTGCCTAAGAGTGCGAGCCAAAAGCGAGCCATGTACTATACAACGATGCCCCGGAAGAGAGTAGCGTTCTCGACCCAGCCCCCGGAGTATCAAACCTACATGTTGGAGCTAGAAGGGGATGATTGTGAAGATGGGGCATGGGACGAGGGTTTCTGCATTGAGGAACAAGGTTCCAGTGAGGCAGCTGAATCACAGTACATGGGCATGACGGAGGATGATTTGGAATTTGTGATGTTTGGCTCCAGCACCATGAGTTCCAGGAGGAGCCGAAGGTACGATTCCCGAAGCCCTTCACTCTAGGGTCCGGCTCCCCATTCGCCTTTTTCCTCCGAGTAACGTGGCCTTCTCAAGGCTTGTAGGGCTGCTATAAAGGCTTCTGGAAACGGCATACAGTAGCAACCTGCTGAAGGGAGGCCAAAAAATAAGAAAGGACGAAGACCGGACGATCCATAATTGGGTCGGTTGCTGCGAATTTGTATCTGGCCAGCAGCGGCCAACAAGGCGCACGTCAAAAGCATCGTTTGTTTAGGAGTAACGTACACAAATCCTTGGCAGGCATGGCCTCGACTGCTGCACAACAGAATAGAATTGTAAATGATTGCAGACTTGCCACCAAATCTTTCCATCAGCTGTCTCACAAGTCAACGAAAACTAAACAAGACCCCACTACAACAACGAACTGAAGCTTTAGGGTCTGGAGTCTGGGACTTATGGTTTATGGATTAGGGTTTTGGCCCTCACGTTCGGTATTAAGATAATGAAAGCTTTCGATACGGGCTGTCCTACAAAAGCTTCGGGAAGTCTGCTTCACCGTAAACCTTTCAACAATTATTGACACCAATCCCTAAAATCCACGACTTAATGCCCTGCGCCTGTAACATTGCAGGTTTGCAGAATTTGGCCCCGAAAAGTCTGTGAACCATGAGGTCCTTCACAAGAAAATGTTTCCTGAAAGCACTCCTATGCTCTAAATCTGACAAACCCTGAGCCATGTGGGATTTCGAGTTTGGGGCTTAGTTTTGCGGGCCAATAAAGTCAATTAAGTCCGGGTCGACCTGAGTCTGATGAAACTGCATGTTTTCGAGAAGCCTTTCTGCTGCCACCGTCCGCGACTAAAGGCAAAGGTCTCCTTTGCCAGAAAGTCTCCATCCCAAATTATTATTATGTGTCTTTAATTCCTACAGCTTGAAGTCCAAATGAAGCTCAGGCAAGTCCCTGAAGAGAATCCTGCAATGCGAAAGACGTCGAACCAAAGCTTTGGAAGGTTTTAGGGTCCGGTGGGGGCTTAGTGTAGGGGTAATGGGGCTTAGGCTAGGGTTGATGATCGAAGCAAACTTGTCGGCAGCCCAATGTCGGAAATTCTCACCCCTTTAGGGTGAAACGATTGCAGCACACGGGCTCAGAAATTAATCATTCAACCGACTTATGGCTAAACCCAGGGCTTCTACTATTTTCCAGCGGAGGTTTCAAGTTCATTGATTATTGTCAATTATTGTTGTTTGCAAACCCCATGTTTAAAGCCCAGAGCCATCACACCCCAGCACGGCGTCGGCACTCAAAGGTTGGCAGCTCACTCTCCTGGCATGGTCTATCGGTTTTTCGTGCTTCGGGTCATGGGTTTGAGACAAAGTCCAAGCTTTACGGCTGTGAAGGGTTTGAGGGCTTCAGCAGGTTTCGTGGACTTAATGTACAGGGTGGTCACACTTGAAAGTATGCAAGGTTACAGTGTTCAGGGTTTGAGGCGTTCAGGGTTGCAAGAGCGCCAAACCTGCCCAACAGTACATAAGCACTCCAACTGTTCGACATCCCGAACCCTCAACACTAAACTCTGGAAGCCAGAACCTCCCCTCGGGACCCAAAGGCCAAATCACACATACCGGGAGAGATCATGCGATAAAGAAGTTTCTGCAACTCGCAAGCACAGGACTTCGAAGCATGCGATTGCAGCACAAGTGAAGCGAGCCGAAGACAAGTCAAGCAGTACCTTGCAAATACAGCATCTTACTGTAGCACATTACTGAGTACAACTCTTGTACCTTGGCTCACTTCTTTTGCTGCTTGGCCGGTCGGGCCGGTGGCTCGGATGTCTCGGCTTCTGTACCGCATCCGGGCTTGCCCTTGGCCTCCCACCACGACCAAAGCCATTCCGAAACCTCTGCTTTGGCCTGATCGTAAGAGCGAGCAACACGAATGGAAACCGTCGAACTTGTGGATGCAGGCTTGTAAGCTCGGGATATGCTGTTTTTTCCATTCCTCCAGACTTGTCCCTCTGGGAGAAATCCTTGCAAGAATGGTGATGCAGCAAGGGGTGCATTGTGACCAATCCGGCAACCCGGCGGCACCTCCAAAATGGAGGCCGCCCCTTCCTTGGATCCACGTTCCTCCGCCGGCCATGGGATCACCGACGACTGTCCATGCTGAGCTGCATCGGCCCGCGAAGTTTTTGCACGTTTCGAAGGAGGTGCAGAGGCAGAAGCCTTGTCATTCTGAGGCGCTGCAGTTGCATCCGTCTCCTTTTTCTCCATCCTCGAGAGCAGCTTGCTCAAGAGTTCAGCTTCACAGACCGTGTCCATGCCCAGCACAGCCGAGTTTCCACCGGGATCATCAATGTCATCATCGTTTTCCATTTCCTCGGTGGCTTTCGTCGTCTGCTTGAAGGTTGCAAGAATGCTCGCTGCTTTGCCCTCGTCATAGCCCATGTGCTTCAAGAGATGCTCGCACGTTGCTTTCTTCGTCATGTTGCCTTTGGCAGGACTCCCTTTAGCAGTGCACAGCATCCGCAACGCATTGGCAGAAAGTCCTCAGCTGATATGGCATCGGTCTCCTCTGGAATTATAAAAAACTGTTCAAACAACTGGCGAAGCATATGGAGATTAGACAACGACAAGGGGATATCTGAGAAGTCGCAATCGACAGGACGAGCAGGCTATCACACTACATTTTCTAACCTTCTTACCTAAGCAAGTACACAGAACTGGAACCTCTGGAATGTGCCCAGCCGTCCACAAGGGTACCAAACTGATGCACAGCCAAAGCTCTGCATGCATAGTTCTCCAAGGCATAGTTGATGATAGGTTGCGGATCTCCCAGCTTCAAGACCATCTCTCTGGCATTCAGCAGCATGGGCTCGGCAGGCAGCAGAAACCAATCGTCGGGGTCGGCCGGGTTGATATCCTAGCAGGGTCATTGTCATGGAACAAAAACTCAATGGCAACTGCCTGTCGAAAGACTGGGGATTTCGGCGCTCGCACTCGGACAATCCAGTTATTGCATGCAGTCAGCGACCCAACCAGCACAAGCCCTTGCAACCTACTAGGATTAGGCGACTCTGCAAGAACCATATTAGTACCCCTAGACAATCTGATGGATTAGGAGCAGCGATGTGCAAATTTTTAGGCAATCCGACCTTCATCTGAAAAGCACTGGTTGGGATGACAGCCACATGATGGTTTTGGCCATCGACCACCTTCGTTTGCCTCAGCAAAGAGCAGACTCGCAGCACCACGTACGGAGCATCCACCACGAGAAACAAGTCCTGTCGACACTGCCAGACCTGGACAAAATAAGCAGCAGCAACAAAGGTTTCAACTAACTCGGCGACCCCAATATTGAAATCGATTGTAAAAAAGCAGTAATATGAAATAAGAACGACATCGCAAACCTGGACGAGGCACCTGAGCAGGCCTGGCGAGCTCCGTGACCCAGGTTCTGGACATATCACCGTCCAGCCTCTTGCATGTCGACCACACGTTTAAGGCTTTGCGATTGAAATGGTAAGGCGAGGTAGCCGCCTCGCGAGCGATTGCATTGAAGTTCTCCAATCCTGTGTCAGCTGCAGTGTCGCGCTTCGCGGTGAAAATCGAAGTCTTGATGACTTGCTTCATCGGCACTGAATGCACAAGAGATGGCGATGGAGAGATGGTCTCGAAGTTCTCGTATCGCTCGGCCACTGCCTGTATCGATGCAGTTTGCAGCTGCACAGGCGCAATTTCGCCTCCAGATTGGCCTCTCTCTCCCAGACGTAGGCTGCGAAAGCAATTTTCGCAGCCCAATGTGCTCGAAGGATCAGCTAGCCAAGCTCGCACCAGGTCTTTCAGATCGTCAGTCAGTCGCCACCGCCTCTCCTGGCAGTATGTCATAACCTCACGATACACGTGCCATCGTACATGCGGCACGGCTTTGAGAGGATACTGGTCGCTGGCATCGCGACACTTCTCCTCCATTCGACACAAAAAAACCCACTCTGACTCCATTTCCTTCAAACACCGATTGGCGACATCGGGATTGCAATCGAGGAGCATGAAAAATCGCCAGGGAAAAAACTGATACAGAGTAGAATAATCCCAGAATCGCTGAACTGTGGCTATGGTGTGTCTCCAATGCACTGCCAAGAGCTGCTCGGTGTCGTCGACATTGCAGATCAAGTCTTGGATGCTCTCTGGGCTCAAGGCAGACTTCAAAGTATCCCGGATCAAGTCTGGCCAATGCTTGACCACGTACGAACGAAGACGGAGACTTCCCTCCACGGACTTATCTTCTCGCACCTGGAATCTGCCAAACCGATCCCACCCTTCAAACTGAAAAATGAATCCGAACTGTTATTCTGAACCACCCAAAAACCCAACCCCAAAGTCCGCCAGCCTCAGCTGCTTGGAAACTTCGAAAAGGCTGGAGGCAATAAAAGATGCTCTTCCCATAGGCAAGGATGAGAGGCTGCACCAAGACCTGAGCAATATGACAATCACGGCATTTTTTCACCATGCCGAATGAGAAGGACAGCAATCTGATTTTCGGTAATGCACCAAACTTATATATGACAAATTAGCTTCGGAGCCAAGGATCCCTAAGGACCTTGGGAGCCAGAGCAACATCGTCGTCCGAGCCAGCCTTGTCCAAGCTCTCGGAGAGTGCACTCCACGGATTTCTTCCTTCCAAGATCATTGCAAATAGAAGCACGAACAGGCGGCAATGCCACTCGGATCTCAAGCGGCGGAAGGAGTCCAGCAGGTCGCACCACCTGCCGGTCTTGTGCTCTGCACCAGTGCTGCCGCGCTTGGAGCGGCAAAAGGCAAGGATCGCCTCTTTGACTTGAGCCGGTGAAGCATCCGGCGAGAGCCCCAGGTCGGAAATGATTCCGGCACTGACCATGTCAATCAAGGGATGATCAGTGGGGATTTCACCCACACGGTCTCTGGCTTCGGCCAGCCTACGCCCAAATGCAGAAGTTGCCCAAGGCGCTCGGTCGAATTTCAAGACGAGGTTGATCTGCTTGCGTGCCAGTGCAATCTCTGCCACCTCTGACGAAGCGAGAATTTCTTCTCTGTGTAGTTTGTGTAGAGTGTCACGGTGGACAAGCACCGCCAGCCCATTTTGCGCCATCTGGTACGCTCCGGCTGCGTCCCCCTCGTCCTGCAAGCAGTTCAGCCTCAGGATGGATTGCCAGCCTGGGTACTGGGTTGTCTGCCAGGTCACCCCTGTCGGCGACCAAACATAGGGCAAGTCCAATCCATTCCAGTGAACGGTGCTCCTTCGTTCCCCATTCCGGCAGGGCCGAAAAGCATGCGGCGGCAGGCTGTCAGCCAGGCGATAATCAATCAGAGCATTGAGCGAATGATTGATTGCAAGGAGCTTGGAACGTGTCGCAACTTTCTCAGGTGCACTCAAAGTCGCAGGGCCACAGGAGGCCTTGGCGCCTTTGAGATCCTGCAATGCCTTCTTCGGCACCAGTTCTGCCGCCTTCGCCAAGTTCTCTGCAGCACTGCTCTCGGTGGTCTCTTTGAGCTGGGGTAGCAAACTGATGGGCGAGGAGATCATCAAGCCATCCGCGGACACCAGCACTTGAAGCACCTGGACCACACGGGATTGAACCAACGCATCGAAACCAAACTTGCCCAAAATTAAAACAAAACTATGAAAACAGGATGTTGTTTTCTATCACGCCCATACCTCGTATGTGCCGACCTTCGCAGCATCCTCGTACATGCTCATGTGTCGAAACTTCTGCACGGAAAGCTTCTTCATCAAGGCACTCCGGGCGTCCAGAAAGTAGCCGGTCAAGTACTGGTGTGCAGCACAAGCGCCCAAGCTTTTCCCCAGCGTACCCGGCAGCTCAAGGTCTGTAGGGCAGATCTCGGAATTGGAGCGATTTCTCAATCCAGTCACGAAGCCTCCGCCCCTGGCCAAGAATCTTTTCAACAGTTCTTGCCTCGCCAAGTTCGCGTTCCGGGTTCGCGACCCGGACGACCATGGCGTCTGACCTGGCTCCTCCTGCTGCCGCGGTGGCGTATCTCGCAGGTGTATGGAGCCATCGCACATGCCGCTCTCCCAAGCCTGGGCCAAGATATGCAAGATGCGTTTCTGTAGCCTCGTGACTGGGACCTGAGAAAGGCCATCTGAATCAGCTCGGAGTCTCATCAGAAACCAGCATACATCTGCAACAGGGACGTACCCGCCCAGGTTCTTGCGACTTGTGCCCAGAGCGACGCAGTTTTCCCACCTGCAGGAGAAGACAGATTTGAATCATAGAAAGCGGAAGGGAGGGGCTCCCAACCGCGAAAGGAAATCCAATTCTCAGCCTAAAGACATATTAACTTATGATGCTCGAGCATACGAAAAGGGAGTTTGAAAAGGACCAAAGGCCTCTGCTTCAGCGAGGCTCGTAGCTCGCGGTCGAAGAGCTTGAGAAAGCTCTTGAGCATGACCTGGCCATCCTGGACCGCCAACGTCAAAGTGGGAAGCAGCTTCAGCCCGTCTGAGAACTCCAGGAGTCCCGTCATGCGACGAAGCAGACTGACACATCTGCTCTGTACGTTCTCAGCCAAACCACGAATCTGTGCCAGGGTTCCAATCAGAAGCAGGAAGCCGGCGGTTGAGACACAGTCATATTTCAAGCCCGGCCATGTGAAAGCTTCTTGACTGCCTTTGTAGTTCTCGTGTCGCACTATGTGCTTGCGACTGAGCCCCCAGGAATCAGCATGCTGCTTGAGTGTGCCGGAGCTCTCGTTCTTGGAGTACCAGGCAAAAAAGCTGGTTGCCATGCTCAACTGGCTCCACACGTCTTTCACACACAGCAGATGCTGGTAGCCATCCACATTCCGCTCCGCCGTCGGCTGGACCTCTTCAAGACTGACATTGTTGCGGAACTTTTACACTATGGGCAATCTACGATGTTTTACATTCCACTAGTGCAGTTGCGAGGTTGAGCCCAAGCCTTGACCACCGTCAAGTAGTCAGGCTCCAATCGTAGGAAAAGCATCTCCAATGCGTCAGAGACTAAAGGACTAGGCTCTGCCACAGCGGCAGCAATCTCTTTATCCAACTCGCTATCCTCACGGCCGCCCTCAAGCAGGGGAGGTGGCAGAGGGAAATCACCGCCAGCACGAACCGCCGAAATGCAGTCCTCCAGCACATCTCCATCAACAATCTGATTGCCGAGCGTTGCCAAAGGGGCTTGCTTGGACACTGCTGCTTTGAACATCTGCAGACACCGCAAGAAAGTCGCGGCACCTTGTTCCGCCTTTGTCTGCAGCAGTTGGCAGATGGCATCTTTGATGTTGGCCTCAGACAGCAAGACTGAAGCAAGGCTCCAAAGCAGCCAGCGTGAAGAAAAAGACGTTATCTTGAATTACAAAACCACACCCGTACATTAGCACAATCAAGACTTGCATGAGAGTCTCCATTACAGCAAATTTCGCCGCAACTGCTGGCAATCACCGCCCACTGGACTGCCCATGACACAAAAAACTTCCCCGCGTCGTACTCTCACAGCTGGCTCGAATGCGTAAGACTGCCTGCTGACATGCACTCGAATGGTGCCTGCACACTTGTTCATGTGGCCAAAAGGGAAGTCTGTTCATCCAGATGTACACCCTTGTATTGTCACATGTAGCCTATGCAGAGCCGACCAGGGCTACAGGAATTCATCCGTCTGGCAAACACACTCTTCAAAGGAATCCTGCCTCAGAACTTGGACCCTGTTCCCTTCAAGGACTGCCACCAGCACAACAGGGAAGCAGAGTTTTATTGCCGAAAACTCGGCAGCAAGACTGGCTGCTGCAGGATGTCACCGGAAGAGGCCTGCATCAATGCAACATGAATCAGTCCCAGGCCGAGGTTAATGACAATTAATGTGGGCTGAGTCACAAAATTATGGGGACAGTTTGGGCAAGATCACGGGGCTATGACGGCGATAACTTCAAGCAGTGCAGGACGTTAAGACTCAGAGTGGCTGGAAGGATATGCAAAGCAGAGATGCCTGGCAGAGAGCAGCCCGGGAAAGAACACAAAAGCAAATCTTGCGCCAACAAAACCCAGGTTCAATTGCCTCTTTGGACAACGAGGACCCCTGAGTGGCTCCAGCAGTCCCTCGAGGCCCAAACCAACCACCCGTGCAAATGCACCCAAGTTGCACTTACACACACACAGACACACACATCAACTCCGTGGCTGAGGAGGCCCATCCTCTTAGATAGAGAAAAGTAGCCTCGTGTGTTGCAAAGGCTATCCACGTGTGTGAGCAGACTCATTTCAACTAGCCCAACCACAAAAGTGGTTACATCCACGAACTACCTGAACCAACTTCCTCTACTCTATGCCAAGAACAATAACAAAGCTTGTGCACAGATACAACAACACGAAACAAACAGCAAACTTCAGGCACGCTGACAGGCTTCAGGCGCTATGACCCGATGGCGGTGTGGGCCTGGCTGGCGGCAGCAACGACCACAACTCCTGGGCGGTAAATATTAAGCAGGGAGCAAGCGAGCAAGCCGGGCAAGGCATAGCACTCGCGGGGGGGTACAGTACGAAGTCTTCACTGCTACGAATCTCCGCCAATTCTTCTCATGTTGCCCTCTGGCACTCTGGCGCAGATATAAGCTGAGGCTGAAACCACAAACCCCCTCCAAAACCGACTGCTGGGCAGCCTGAACGAGCTCTTTGTCCCAAACCTGTCAGAAGATTCGGCAAAGGCAAGCCATGGAGACTGTGTGCAACGATGCCCACAGCTGTGTGTGCCATGACCCCAGCAACAAGGCCAACAAAGGTCAACTCGACACCGTCCGTCGACGGCTAGGGCATGGGCCTGGGAATAAATACGTTTGCCAACAACAGCCATCATTCTCAACGGCAAGCGGCTCTTCTCAGTCAAAGCCAACAGATACTGCAGTCTGCCGACACAGACCCGGAACAAAGCCGGCATCGAGTCCCAAGCAGTCTGGCTGCACTCAAACTCCAGGAGCAAATCTTCCAACCCTTGGACAAACGACTCCAGCGATTTCTGTTCCGAAGATTCTGGACCAGGACCTTATTCAAAACGTAGCCCAAGTGCACCCAGCCTGGCACACCGGCACGGTCAAAGGCAAGGAGCCGGAAGCCTCGAAATGCGAGCTGACGATGACACTTGACTCAAGGGCCGATATCGAGGAACCTCTACCAATGTTCGAATATCCTTGTCTGGTTCCTGCACTGTAGTCAGATAATCTCAGGCTCAATCAGCAAAGCAAACCATGTGCAAAAGTGCCCGCTGGGCATCCTGACGATCTGACCATTGTCGGCGACCTGACAGAAGAGCATGCGTGTCAGCTTATTGCGAACAAACGAGGCCTAAGCAGCACGAGCAGCACATGCGATGACCCCCAAAACACCAAGCCCATCCCCGTGAGCAGCACAACCCTGGAATTCCAAGCAAGTCAGCCTCAGCTCGGCCCATGTGCCAGACCACAGCCAGGGCCTAGGACTGGCCATGCACACTTCGAGCTAGCAGGTGGTTTCTTGAAAAGCAACTTGCTCTGAACCGGGTAAATCAAGACATGCCATGCTGCAGTGTGCCGACGCAGGCCTGGAGCAAAGCTGAATCCAAGTTCCGAACAAGCCGGCTGCATTCGAACTCCAGCAACAAAGCCGCGAACCTTTCAAACACAACTTGGGTGAGGTAAACTCTGATTTGTTTCTGGACTTGGGTTGCCCAGCAAAATGTGCACGAAGTGCAACCAGCCTGGCACACCGCCACGGTTGATGGCCAGGAGCCGGAAGCCCCGGAACGTGTGTTGACACTGGCACCTGAAGGTTTTTTTTTATGTCGGCATAAAGGACAGTCTCACTCGGTTCGTGTATCTCCGCTGTGGCAGAAGACTGCAGGTGGGACCCTGTAGCAGCAATGATTGGGAGAGACCTCGACTGATTCCCGGAGTCTACTACAGACAAATCACGGTTCAGAGCACAGCACTGGCGGAAGCAGTCGTGCTGTTGACCCCTATGTTGGTTCCATGACTGTGGTTCTTGGGAGCAGAATTACACGACCTTCTCAATCGGACAGAAGCAGCAAATGCAGCGACACGATCGGAATGCATCTGTTGCTGAAGAACATCCTTTGCAGCCTAGTGGCCTAGCAAGCAGCAATACCAAAGTGCGAAGATCAGCAGCCATACAGAACCGTGGCAAGAAATACTGAAACCACAAGATAGTCAATGGGTGTGCGATATCTACCATCAAGTACAGATATAGACACAAGCGTGCAAAAGACAACGACACATCGACACACGTGTGTTCTAGTCATGGTGTCATGGTCAGGCACCCACAAGGAAGAAAGCCTGCTTGCAGTCCGACAAATCTAGGAGCTGAAGCTCCGGGCCCACGGCTGCCGCACCGATCGGAATGAGCAGCAGGGCCCACCTGCAAAACTCACCAGCAAACTCCAAATCACGTACCAAGGTCAAGCTGCATGAATATTCGCAGAAGACGCACACTCGAAGCTTTGGTTTACTCTGTGTTCGGGCCTGCCGCAGCTCGGTCACTCCTCCGCTGCAAAGGTGACCTCGGCCGCGGGCTGAGAAATTCACCACAAAAAAATTCTGTGGATTCTGAGAGAACTATCACTCGCGGAGAAGGATACATGATGCGTTTTCTGTGTGTTCACATACATCACATTCCTCCAAGTGACGTGGTTTTCCCAATTTTTTTTTGCGACCAGCATTAATCTAAATATTCCTGAGCGAGCTATCCAAAACTGAGAGAGTGCGTTGAAACTCCCGAATGCGCGAAAGTCAAAACTTAACAGTCCAGCCGTCAGTCACTCAGCACCGAGAGGATGCCGAAGGTCCTGGGCCGTCGGGCCGCCGACCTGTGAAAGAGGAGAGAGAGGTCTCCGAAACCAAATTTCCTGGGTTCCCAAGCATCCCAAGCGCCGCAACCCAGAAACATAGGCAGTACAAGATGAGGCACGTGGTCCAAGTGGCCGGCCTCGTCGTCAAAGCCAGCTGCATCCTCCATTGCATCCAGGACCGCTCTGTACATGTCCTGACAGACACATAGCCGGGAGGAAATATGAACAGGATTCGAGAAAGGAGAGGAAAGTGGTCGGCATGACTCAGTTATCCTTGCTGTCGATGACGGTCTTGATCGAATTGGTAACGGCCAGCTTTTGGGAGAAGCTCAGCCGCTGGAATTTCTGTCGGGAGGCCGAAGTGGCAATGAAGAAATTGGCATGGTTCTTAGCGACAAAGTTGTCCAGCTTGGACAGGAGGCTCACTGGATCTGTGCAGCCCAAGGCAGATAGGAGATCGAAGAAAGCAGCAGCGTCCTCAGTTCAAGCACAAACTCTAAACCCGAACACCTGACCCAGGTGTTCGGGTTTGCACACCGTGGAGAAAACAACCACCCTCCAACCAAGACACCTGCTCCCGAGGAAGGTGGGCAGAAACGACCTCAGACAACATCTCCATCAGCTCAAGGTTCACGGGAGCTTCGGCACGTTCTGGGGCCGTGTTCAGGACAGGTGCGGCATTCGACTTGAAACCTGCCTCCGAATCCACATACGGCACCATAGCTGATTTGACAATGGGTGGACTTCCACGGGCCTGCGCCCCCGGTGCCGGCTCCACCTTTTTCTCCTCGTCGTTGCCGATCTTTGCTTTGTTCTGCTCTCCGTCGCCCGGCTTAGGCTCAGGCTGGCCAGGCTTGCCATCCTCAAGAGCTGCTTCACCGAACTTCCCGCCGGCGAACAAATCATCATCGTCTCCCTCGAAAAGCCGGCGTCGGCAATCACGCACAGCACCCCGCTGGGGAGCACTCCCTTCCTCGCCCGAGGACTCTGCTTCGTTCGCTGCAGGCTTGCCCTTCATCACCTGTGTCGCCTCGGAATCATTGGCCTCGCTTTTCTCACAGTCTGTGCTGTCCTCGTCTGGGATGGGCTTAGTCTTTGATTTCCGATACTTGTCGAAGACGGCGGAGTTCCCAGCCTTGCCCTCGTCCTTCTCCTTCCTCGGCTTCTTGGCGATGTCTTTGGTGTTCTCGAGAGAATCAAGGATTTTCTGCTCCATTTTCCCCAGGTCTGTCCTTGCATCGTTCTTCAAATTGGCGAGCAGATCCAGGAGCTGCGTCTTGAATTCAGCCTCGCCGGACTTCACCCTGTCCTTGATCCTGGGAAGGATGCTTTGGCGGAGCTGTGCGATGGTGTCGAAGCCCACCACGGTTGTCTTCCGTGACTTCCCAACCAAAAGCCTGAGACGAAGTACACTTCAGAATGAATCAGCGAATGGAAGCAAAGAAAAACGAGAAATGCACAAGACGCTCGGATCAGTACAGGAAAGGAACTCGAAGAGCTGCATGAGGCGATCCTTCCAACGAGAATCCGACCATGAAACGAGCTTCTGAGCTCGTTCGAAGGATTCTCTGTCCTGTGCATCGGCTTGTTTCCTCTTCCTGGCTGGCAGCTTGCATGCGGCCTCGTGCTTCAGAGCCAGTGTCTTGTGTTCACCTCCGAGTTCACAGAGGTCGAGAACCGTGAGACACCCGATATCCTTGTGGCTCTCGGCAAGGATGTAGCACACTTGCTCCTCAATGCTTCGGAACACACAAAAGCCCTGCTTTGCATAGAACATGCAGTCACCGAGACCGCTATAGATACAGCAGAAGATAAGTGCAACCCAAGATCACACAGCATGTCTTCGTACTTCTGGACTGACTTCAGCTTGAGCGCCCTGCCCTTCAAACCCAAGATGATACCCAGCTGCCGCTCCACCTCATGCTCTGGCAACTCTTCCTCGGAAGCCTCTTTCGAGTCAGAGTCGGAGGACGCTTTCTTTTTCTTCTTCTTGTCCTTCTTCTTGGCATTCTTGCCCAAGATGCTCTTGGCCATGCTTTCCTGCACCATAAACCCTTCGTATCAAAACACAAACAAGTGGAAAGGCAGCACCACAGCAGCAACCACATAGTTTGCACTGCCTGAACCATGTCAGAAACAATGCAGCCCGGCCTTCATGTTGTCCAAACAACTGTCCAACATCTGCGACATGGGGTCTTGGGACTTCTGGGGCGAGGCCTGCTGGGAAGACGTGGATGCAATGGACTGCTGTGTGTTCTGCCGGCGCAGCATGGCTCCAGCAGTGTCCCACACACTACTACAGGATCCAGGAGCGCTCAGACGAAAATTTAGAATCATGTAGAAGCAGATCACTGCTAGCGAAGCAAGTGAACGTCGCCGTGCATTCTGACATTCTTGATGCCCTATGCCGCGCAGTCTTGGAAATGCTCCTTCATGAATGTCATGTAGCACCGGCCGCCATGCTTTGAAAGCCCTTGTATTACTGCAGCTGAACGCATCAACGGATGAAAAGAAGAACTGCCCCAGGAATCAGCGTGACGTGCTGCATCAGTGCATCTCAGCGTAGTTCTAGACATGATTCAGCGGTGTGACCGTGGCAACACAAACTCTGGCTTCGAGGAAGACAGCCGACAGCAGAGGCTCCAGCGGAAGCGATGAGTCGGACCTGATGTTCGACAAGGCGCAAGCGAGCAAGCATAAGGCCTTTTGCGAGGAAACTGCTGACACAGCAGAGTGGCAATATCATTCAAAAGACCCTTTTCCTTCCCTCACATTGCAGACTCACTGGCTTTTGCATGTCTGCAGTCACTGGCTTACTGCACAAACTCCCGCGAGAGCCTTTTTGCTACGTGATATGACTAGGAAAGACGTCATGCTGCCTTGTGCAATCAGCAAAAGAACACAAAATCGTGGCCGTCCAAGGCAAAGGGTGGCGAGCCACGGCGAGCCCCAGCATCTGCAACTCATCCACCGATCCACCTTCCAGTTTTGGCTGAATGCAGGCAAAAGAGAAGGACAACGGGATGCAGAAGAGGAGTGGAGACTGTCTGAAGTCGGCACAAACCAGCTCAATCCCAACCCCACGACATCATGGCAATCAAGAAATTCACGGACTGGGCGAGATCGCCGCTAAGGATTGGCAGCTGCACCCTCATGCTCTTATCTAAACCCTGATACCAAGGCCTTTTCGGCAAGAGCTTCAGGAGAAGGATGTCACGGGCTTTTCCGCTTTTGACGAATACGACGAACAGGAACCTGATGCCGCGAGGGATCCGAAATGCCCTGCCCGGTGCTCATCTGGTCGAGCTGGATGACGAAGCGAAGGTCGGCCACCGTTGTGGTGATGCGTTTGGCGTGAAGCGTCGCCATGCAAGCCCGCACCAGCATGGAGTTCAGGTACTCCTGCCAGAGCACGACCAAACCAATGCCAGAGCAGCAGACCCAAAGGACACGGATCAAAGCAGGAGTGCAGAATGGCCAGCGTGGCACACAAGCCCTCTGCGACACACACCAGACACACACACAGCGGCTACTACTGCATGGCACCAATACAAGCAGACCTCGGCAGCTTGGTGAAGAGTTCTGCTGCCTTCCTCAGAAAGACTGATCGGCTGGTCATTCTCTTTTTCGGATCTGCCCGAGTGGAGCTCATCCTTGTAGTTCGGACTCCTTCGTTCCTTGTGCAGTCGGTCCAAGATGTCCTACACAGATGAGCTGGGGACCCTTGGCAATGAAAGGCAAAGGACACTCCAGAATTACCGGCTGTTGCTCGGGTCCTTGCTGAGCTTCTTGAACAAGGCCGCTGGGATCATGGGCTCGTTCGACGTCGGCAGAATCGCCATCTGTGAGATGGCGTTTCTGTTCTGGCCACCGTAGCGACCCTTCCATTCGACGTCCTTCGTCGTCCCTGCCTTGGCAATTTGGCAAAGACAGGAGAAGACCTGCAGCCACCAAACCGAAACAAAAATGAAGCAAAGTTGCAGAGGGTCGGCCGCCCGAAGACGCATTCTTCTTCAGCGTCCTTGTCATGCTGCCACCTCCCAGCAAAGGCCAGAAGGATTGGTTTCGACCACACGTGTGGGTTTTCGCAAACTAGCAGAGGACATCTACGTCTGCTTGGAGTTTCTGCTATTCAGATTTCTTTGGCACACATCAAGCTTTCCTGGTCCAACCCGGCACAGATGCGTTTTCCAAGGGCTGGTAAATGCATCCGGCTTGCCTTGCAGCTGCCATTCCAGCTCTCTGTGTTATCGTTCCAGGACCGACACGGATGCGTTTTTCGGGGCCTGGAAAACGCATCTGGCCTGGATTCCCTATGTTCTTGACAGCCACACGTGTGGATTTTCGCAATCTACCCGTGGAAATCTGCACTTGCTTTGGGTTTATGGTATTCAAATCTCTTTAGAACACATCAAGCTATTCTTGTCCTAGTCAAAACCGACACGGATGCGTTTCCCAAGGCCTGGTAAATGCATTCGGCTTGGCTTGCAGCTACCATTCCAGCTCTGTGCATTCTCGTACCATGACCGACACAGATGCGTTTTTCGGGGCCTGGAAAACGCATCTGGCCTGGATCCCCAATGTACCCGTCGAAATCTGCTTTTGCTTTGGGTTCATGGTATTCAGATCTCTTGAGCACACATCAAGCTATCCTGGTCCAAACCGACACAGATGCGTTTTCCAAGGCCTGGTAAATGCATCCGGCTTGCTTTGCAGCTGCCATTCCAGCTCTGTGCGTAATGGTGCCAAGACCGACACGGATGCGTTTTTCGGGGCCTGGAAAACGCATCTGGCCTGGATTCCCTATGTTCTTTACAGCCACACGTGTGGATTTTCGCAATCTACCCGTGGAAATCTGCATTTGCTTTGGGTTTATGGTATTCAAATCTCTTCAGCACACATCAAGCTATCCTGGTCCAAACCGACACAGATGCGTTTTCCAAGGCCTGGTAAATGCATCCGGCTTGCTTTGCAGCTGCCATTCCAGCTCTGTGCGTAATGGTGCCAAGACCGACACGGATGCGTTTTTCGGGGCCTGGAAAACGCATCTGGCATGGATTCCCTATGTTCTTTACAGCCGCACGTGTGGATTTTCGCAATCTACCCGTGGAAATCTGCTTTTGCTTTGGGTTCATGGTATTCAGATCTCTTGAGCACACATCAAGCT